AATTGCACACCTGAAACCTATATAATTTTATTAACCATGTCACCCCAATAAAGTCAATAAAAAATAAGTACAAGGTCTCGTTGGGGCTTCTGCTCAGAAAGTAGATAAGCTACTCAGAGATACAGTGAAAAGAAAAGGAGATAGTTATTCCCAGCAGAGGGACTTGGAAGACAGACATTTCAGAAACCATTGGCCTGTGGGTGGGAGAGGAAGGGTGACATCAGGTGGCTTTCTGGTGCCTTCAGTTCCACCCTTACTCACGCTATTTACCTGCCCCCCCCCCCGAGGTGGTGAGGTCCCTGTCGCTGGAGGTGTTCAAGCCATGACTGGATGAGTTGGAGAGTGTACTCACATCCTAGGAGAGGCAGGCATGCTCCGTCACAGAGCAGGGACTGTGGGCAGACAGCAGTCCCAACGCCAAACACAAGAGGCTTTGCGCCACCTGGTGGACATGGTTTTAAACGGCAGAACCTTCCATGGGAGGAAGCACCTGTGTCCTCAGAAACCTGGGCTGTGAAGCCAGAGCAGAGCCCCTAACGTGTCAGGAGGAGCCGCGGTTTGTGAGAGCTCAGCCGGGCCCTGCACTGGGCAGGCGTCAGAGAGGCTACACTGGGAGGGTTTATTAACGGGACGCGGGTTGCTGAGCTGTGCCTTGGGATCGGAAGGGACACATCCTTCCCTAACTTCATTCCGGATTGCTGGACGACACGCTGGGACGCTGCCTGGAGGGGGGCAGAAGGCTCGTTTGCTCCTCCTGCTTGACTCTGTACCGGGGAGTGACCCTGAGCTGTCTTTGCCCAGAAGTAAAGTTCCCCACGTGTTCCGTTCTGCAGGAGCCTCCAGGGAACCACACCCGCAACCCCCATAACAACCCCCCAAAACCCCATGGACATCAGATTCTGAAAGGTTTTGTCTACCACGGTGCATGCTTTCATTACACTGGCTATACTGTCATCTGTGTTTATTATCTTATTGTGTCATTTGCTGTCTTCGAAGGCCTTTGCACCTGCCAACAGAGCACAATGAGCTTCGGGGGTGAGCGTTTCCTCACACAGTTCACTTCATTTGAGCAAAAACAATGGCACCAAGAGCCTAGCGGGCCTGAGGCACAGCTGAGGTGAGGGTGCTGCCGGCTCCCGCACACTGACCGGGCCTGAAGGCACCCTGCCCTGCCTGCCTGAGCCCGGCCAGGCCAGCTGCTGCTCCCACCAGTCCTCCTTCTGGTCTCATGTCTTTCTGAGGAAAGGGCCTGATTGCAATTACCCCACGCCTAGACCTGGGTGTCAGGGCAGCCAGGCTCCGGGGAAGGCGCAGGGAAGCCCACAGCACAGGCCTGGGCCGGCTCTCCAACACACCTGCTGGGCGCCCCACTGCTCCCCAGGTTTCCCCCGAAAGCAGCTGCCCCGTGACATGACGTGGGGACGTGCAGGTGGGGCTGCTGGTCTCCTGCTGCTGCTCCTCACGGGTCCCTCTCCCTAAAGGCTCCTCCTCTCCTGCGGGAGGTCTCAGCCCTGACGTGGGGAGCCAGGCCCACAAGCATGAACCTCAGGAGCCCTTCACCCCTCAGGGACCGGCCTCCACCATTGGCCTCTCCTGGTCCCCACACCTGCACTTCCTTGGCCCCTCGTGATGGGGAGACCCACCGCCCGCCGCACCCCCACACCTCACCCCTCCCAAGGGAAGGGGGAGGGCAGAGCAGCCTGGACGCTCCTCCTTAGGGACGCTTTCCCTGACACCTGCCAAGCCGAATCCAAATGCACCGTGCCACTTTGTCACCAGGACCGGGGCGCCTCTCTGCCTCTCCCAGGGCCTCCTCTCTGCATCAGGGCCTGCTCTCCTCTGTATGTCCCCCTCCCCATGAGCCGGTAACTTAAAAGGATTTTGGAATTTAAAAAAAATTAAGATTATGATTAAAACAAGAGGCCCAGTGCACGGAATTTCATGCACTTGGGGGGGGGGTCCCTCAGCCCAGTCTGCACCCTCTCACAGTCCAGGACCCCTTGGGGATGTCCACCTAAGCCAGCAGTTGACATCCCTCTCGCAGTCTGGGACCCCTCGCTCCTTACCCCCTGCCTGCAGCGGAGACCGGGGAGGCTCCTGCCACCACCACTGCACTCGCCAGCCGTGAGCCTGGCTTCTGGCTGAGTGGCGCTACCACTATGGGAGCGCACTGACCACCAGGGGGCAGCTCCTGAGTTGAGCATCTGCCCTCTGGTGGTCAGTGCACACCATAGTGACTGGTTGACCAGTCTTTTGGTTATTTGGTCTTTCGGTCCCTTAGGCTTTTATATAGAGAGAGATTGATATGTTTAAAATACGCACAGACTTCAGGACAACCCACTTGAAACTCCTCACCCTAGCCGGGGGCGGTCCCAGTGGCCGCGGAGCCAGGGGTCCCAGGAGTGGCCAGGCCCCACCCAGCCAGCACCTCTTCATCTGCCTCATTCACGGGGTGCTCTGCAGGCCCCAGCCCTCGCCCTGAAACATACGTGTTTTCCGTGCGCCTCTGAAAGCGCCGAGAGAGCACTTGGGTAGGAAACACGTGGGGAGCGGCCAGGGGAAGGAGTCGCGAAGGCTGGCACCACTGGCATCCGGCACGAGGACAGGGGGTGGTCACAGCATCGGCCAGGCTTCCTGCTCGGAGCCCCCGACCTGGCAGGCCCCGGGTGGGAGGAAGTGCTACTCATGGTACCTCCTAACCTTCCAGTGTCCTGTGTCAGTCGTACCCCAATAAAGCTGGGGCGGGCGGGGGTGGGGGGGGAGGATCTGAGGGAAAAAGACTTGCTCTGTGTTGTGCTCAGAGACACAGAGAACAGACTGACGGTGGCCAGAGGGGAGAGGGCTTGGGGGGCTGTGTGAACAAGGTGAGGGGATGAAGAAGCACAGGTTGGTAGTCACAGAACAGCCCCGGGATGTGAAGTGCAGCACGGGGAATACAGTACCGATAATACTGTAATAACAGGCCTGGTGCCCGCTGGGCACTGGGAATGCTTTGCAGAGTGTACGACTGTCGACCACAATGCTGAACACCTGAAACTAGTACAAAATAATTCTGAGTGTCAACTGTAATTGAGAAATAAAATTTTAAAAATAATAATAATAAAGAATCTGTGTCAAGGAGAAGTGCAAGGGTTAATGCTGTAAATGGTTTCACTGGATGGAGACAGTGACTTGTATAATTTATTTCACTAACTTCTTACCATACCACTTTTTTCATAAACTCTTTATTTACTGCTGACATTCATGTAACCTGGCCCCCAAAAAAGGACACGACTGTCTACCTTATCAAACCATGAGGATGTACTTCCTGCTTGTTAAGATTACGTGTGAAGAAGTCCCCTTTCACAGGTGTTGTTTTCAGTGACCCACGGCCTTTCAGGAATTTAATTTGTAAACAATGGGGGTAAACCCAGAGCCTCACCTGATGCCAGGTACACAGCAGGTGCTCAATTCATGCCCCTGGAAGGAAGGGCTGGAGAACCCCTTTGCTCCTGCACCCAGGTGTCCCTCCCTGAGCACAGCCTATGTGCCAGGGGAGATGGGGAGAGGGTGGAGCTGAGCGCAGGGCCAAGCGGAGAGCCCAGGGATCCGGGGCCTGGGGTGGTGAGCGCTGCCCAAGCCCAGGGCCCACTCCTGGCCCCGGAGTCCCAGTGTGGGGTGAGAGTCATCGCCCTGGGGGAAGACACAGCCGCCAGGATACGCAGGTGTTTTCAACCACTGACACACCAGCAGGCCAATGCCAGCACCCTAACTCCATTCTCTTGTCTAAACCTCTGCATCTTGGGCCCATGAAAAAGATGTGAGACCAGAAGAAATGAGGCAACATGAGGAGCAGCAGGCGGAGCTGTGCTCTGTGCCTTGGGCAAGTCACCCCGTCTCTGGCCTCAGCTGTGTGATCTCTAAAGGGAGCGGCTGGGGGAACCCCTCCCGCCCCAGGTATGCAGTTCTGGTTGGGGATGAGAAAGGCTACGGGGCCTGAGAGCATCCCGGGCCGGAGTCAGGAGACAGCACAGTCCCAGGCAGATGGGAGGGGCAGGACGCCCTGCCTGGCCCTTTGGGGGGTGGAACTGTCAGAGCCCCTGACGGACTCAGCGGGAGTTTCCCTGCTCGTGAGGGTCCCAGCTTTGAGTCCCAAAGTCCAAGAAGCCTGAGGACTTCCTCCCGCGGTGACTCGGGTTCCGCAGACGGGCTTTCTGACCTGCTGGAGGCAAGCGGCTCGGGGGTTTCCTCCTCCCCAGGAAGAAGGTGCAGATCCACGTTCTGTTTTTGATGAAGTGAAAACGCTCCCTTCGCTTCCCGGTGCAGGGGCGAGGCTCCGACCCCCAGGAGCCCAGCGGGACTGGGGGCTGCAGAGAGGAAAGCTGGCCCAGCAGCTCAGAGGCCTGTGCTGAGAGCAGCTCTCGGTTGGCAGGGCTGACGGTGACCGGTGACCGGAGTAAGCGCTGCGGAGCAGGCACCCGCTGGGCACTCACGGGTATGGTCTTACGGAGCTTCCCGCTATCCCGAGGTCAGCCAGGGCAGCGCCCCACCTTGCAGACGAGAAACCTGCGGTCCCCGAGGGGGAACAGCTTGCCCAAAGCCACCAGGCAGGTACGGGCCCAGGCGCACAGGGGCCCAGGCGCGGACAGGAGGCGGTTTCCACTGGGCCACAGTCACCGTCACCAAAGACTCAACACTGCGGACAGGGGTTGTCGCGGAGACGCAGGCAGAGAGGCAGGGCCAAGCCTCATGCCCCAGACCCTCGCAGCCACTGACGGAAACAGCAGCACTGGGCTCGGGGGACACCCCGCCCTGCAGGTCTGCCTGTGCCCAGACCTCTGAACTTCACGGTGGCGTGGGAACTGAACGAGAGGAGATGTAGGCAGGACCCTGAGCGCAAGGCCTGCACAGGGAGCACTTAAACGCCAGGTACCATCGTTGTCGTTATCCCAAAGGTTGACCGAGCAACCATCATTTTGTCCGTTCATAGAGGAGCCCCGTGGGCAGCTTTGACGGGCATGTGCCCTTGATGGGCGAGCTGAGGCTGGCGGCCGCTCCCTTCTGTGACCTGGAGGCGTGGGGCTGGATGCCCTCAGCGCCCGGCCACCCTCCCTCGCTGGGCAGGTGGCCAGGGACAAGGCCGGGAGAGCTCATGCCTGTGGCCCCGCCTGGCCCACGATGTCCTGGGCGAGCCTCCCAGTCCTCACAGCTCAGGTCCTCCGGCGGCTCTGAGGTCCCGAAGTGCACCGGCCGGGCATCCCTGCTGCCCGGGGTGGAGGGCGGAGGCGTGCAGCTCGCCGCCCTCACGAGAGACTCGCTCTCTGTCCCATCTGCCCAGGGCCTGGGTCGTGCCCTCACGGAGAGAGCGCCAGCACGTTCGCCTTGAAGCCGGCCTGGCCCTGCTCCTGGCGCTGCAGCTGCTGCGGGCGGCTGCCCTGGTCCGGGGCCGTCTTCCCGGGCAGCTTCAGGAACCTGGAGTCGGGCCCCAGCACAGTCAGCCGCTGCCCAGCCACTGCCCAGCTGCGGGGCTTCCTGCCCACCCGGCGCCGCCCGCCTCCCGCCTCCCTGGGCCCCTCGGCCCAGGCTGCTCACCTGAACAGGAGCTTCTGGCCGGGCTCCTTCCTGATGATGTTCAGCTTATAGTAGTGGCGCAGGGCACGCGACATCTTCTCGTAGGTCATGTTCACGCGGTTCTGGGAGCAAAGCAGCCACATCACCCTCACTCCCCACCTGCCCCTCCCAGGCCTCGGTTCCCATGGTTCCCACGCCTGGAAGGGAGCAGCCAGGGTTCTGAGAGATTTCTCTTGAGTTTGGAAGGAGGAAGGCAGGGGCAGGTGGGGGAGACACCTTGGGGCGGTTCTCTCATCTGCCTGGCTGAGAACCGGTGGGCAGGAGCGGGTCACGTGTAGCTCTTAAAAAGCTAATGTCACAGGCAGTAACAAATAAACATACATGCAGTTGGCGATGTCATCATAGAGATAGCCTGGCAAGGGGCCGAGTGACTTCGGCCAGGGGACGGTCTCCCCTCTCCGCAGGGCGGGCGGTGCAGAGCAGGCCAAAGTGGCCGGACTGGTGTTACCTCTCTGAACCCGTGTGCCGGCTCTGAGGCGAGGACGAGAACATCCGTCTCACAGGTGTGGGGTAAGGATGAACTTGCTAATCCGTGAGGATACGTAGCACGGTGCCTGCCACGTAGTCTGTGCTCATTAAATGAACTTACTACTCTCTGAGCCTCAGTTTCTCCCCTGTACTGTGCAGGGGTTGGACCAAAGAGCACATCCAAACTTTAGTCATTTGCATCCTTCCAGCCACCAGCCGTCCTGAGAGGCCACAAAACAGAGAGGAGTGCAGGGCTGCAGTCTGCGTTCAAGTCCCTGCCCTGCCACCTCCTGGCTGCAGACTCCTGGACAAGTTGGTAAACCAATCTGTACCTCAGTTTCCCCGTCTGATACCTACCTGCCCTCACGAGGCTGTTGTGAGGAGTAAATAAATGAGTTAGTAAAGTATAACCCTCGGAGCAGTGCCTGCCAATCAAATGCTATACCCTTTTAAGGAATGCTACGGATTGCCAATTATTGTTATTATTAATAGTTTTCTTTAAAAGACTCATTTTTGACTTAAGTGAATTAATTTATAGACAAGGACACTTGCTTTGTATCACCACTGTAAATCATGAGACTGACATGATAGATTTCTTAATCCTGATTCTTACTAAAAAAAGTCCTTAGTTCCTAGAATCCCCTGCAGACACCCATTTAGGTGTGGGCACTCCTCACGCTGGGAATGCTGGTCTCAGCCCTTCCCGGGCCTTCCCAGCCCCAACGGCAGACGCCCCTGCAGGCCCGAGACCTGGCTCCTGCCCCAGCTTTCCCCGGGGAACCCGGTTCCCATCTGGCTCACCCACCCCACGGCATCCGACGGGCAACTCATGTAAACGTGCTCTGAAAGGTCCCCGTGCTGAGCAAAGGTGGGAGCAAGCGGTGAGAAGGCAAGATCCCAAGTTCCAGGGCCAGTCCCCTCCTGAGGAAGCCGCTGTCTGACCTTCAGGACCTCCCAAAGTAGAAGGACCCCAACGCTTCCTGGAGCTGCTGCCGAGCCCCCAGGTAAGGACGGAGCCCCAGTGCTGAAGGTGCACTCTGACCCCTGCCCCGTCCGCTTCTGGGTAAGTTGAGGCCTCCCGCCCGCTGGCTGGGGCTCACCTTGTGGTTCCCCCAGAGCCTGGCGAGCCCGTTGGGATCCACGACTCGGAAGATCCTGGCGTTCTCGTCTTCCCACCTGATGACGGACTGGTACCTGGTGTCGGAGAGCAGCTGGTACACGTAGTCCCACAGCAGCCGGCAGTCTGCAATGGAGCACAGGGTGCAGGCGGCTTTCCTGGCGCTGTGAGGCCCGGCATGAGGAAGGCGCTCGGGGCCCGCGAGGCTGGGCCCAGCGTGCAGCAGGATGGAGACGACGGCGGTATTAGCAGAACTGGGGGGCCATTACTCGTTGTCTCATTCAATCTCCCTAACTCTAGGGGGTGTTGCCTTCATCCCCAGGAAGAGATGAGGCAGTGGGCTGAGAGAGGCAGGCAGACTCTCACCCAGCTCTGCAGACGCCAAAGCCAGGGCCCTTCCCTGGGGCAGGCGGCTTCCAGGTCCCTGTCTGCCCCTGGCCCAGTCACTCGGCCCCTGGACTCTGTTAAATCAGGTGCTAACATCCACCCTCACCCTAAGGGAGATTCAGGACACCCACGTGCCATTGCGGAGGGCAAGCAGCAGAGGGAGCCCGGGAGCACCCGCAGCTCCAGTCCCACTACCTGGGCCTCCAAGCCAGTTTCCTCACAGGGCCTGATGGGAGCATGAAAGAACACAACAGATAAAACCAAACAAAACCTTAGTGCCAAACCAGTTTGGCTCAGTGGATAGAGCGTCAGCCTGCAGACTGAAGGGTCCCAGGTTCAATTCCGGTCAAGGGCATGTACCTTGGCCTGGCCTGTGCCCTCTCGCAATCCGGGATCCTTTGGGGGATGTCAGAGAGCCTGTTTTGGCCCAATCCCACAGGCCAGGCCGAGGGACCCCAGGCCTCTAGTATATATCTTTTTCTAAATAAAATAATTGTGTTTCAGTGATTCCCAGTCATTTCCAACCCAGAAGCCATGCTTCTTCCGCCTCAATGGTGTCTTAGAATAAGTATAGTGGCCCCACTATGGCTAGAAAACACCCTTTGGTGCTTATCTGTCAGTCTGTCTGCCTGTCTATTAGCCAATCCTTTAACAAGTGTAAAATGGAAGCGATCACCTGCAGGCTCAGGCTCTGGAGCCAGACCGCCTGCTCCACATCCCAGCTCTGCCACTTACTGCTGTGCGAACATGGGAAAGTCACTCGGCCTTTCTGGGCCTCATTTCCCTTGTCTGTGACTGTCGCTAATAATAATACCAACCTCAAGGGCTGTTGTGGGATTAAATAAAGAGCCATGCCTGGCACATAGTAAGTGCTCAACTATTTAAAAGTAAATAAGGGTTTTTTAAAATATATTTGTATTGTTGATAGTATTACAGATATCTCCCAATTTCTGCCCTTTACCCCCCTCCTCCCAGCCCCTACCCACCCCACCCCCCGATCTTCACCCCCCTATTGGCCGTGTCCATGGGCTATGCATATAAGTATATAAGTTCTTTGGCTTATCTTTTCTCATGCCCCCTAAAAGTAAATAAGGTTTTTAATGCGAACCTGACCAACTGCCTGACTGTGACTGGCTTAACTGTCTCTGCTCTGGAGATGGGGTGGGCTTGGCAATCCCGGGCGGCACCGCTCGCTGTGGCCAGATTGTGGCCAGCACACAGGACAGTCCCCCACATCCCTACCGCCCAGCACAGACAGACCCTCTCATCCCACAGAGCAAAGCCAGGGCGCCTTTCTAACGCCCATCCTCACAGACCCTCTCATCCCCCAGAACACAGCCCCCTACCCACCTGCGATCCTGCCATCAATCCTGCCGTCGACGGGGGCCTGCGGCCTTGTGGGGAAGGAGCAGACTCCCTCTGCCCTACAGCTGAGCTCCCCACGGAGAGGGAAGCTGAGGGCCTCCTCCCTGCCGGGGGGCCACCTGGCCAGGCCAGGGGCATCCAGGTGGCTCCAGGAGTTGGTAAGCTCCAGGTCGGGTGGCTGCTGCAGGAGGCCTCCCTGGGCCACCCGAGAGGGCCTGGTCCCCTCTGCAAGCAAATGAGCATCGGTGATGCTATGGGACAGAGCCTCCCAGCCCAGGCCTCCTTCACGGCATGCCCGGGACCCCGAGGGGCAGCACTGTGGGTGGTCTCCCTGCATCTAGCCCCGGTGCCAGATGGCGTGCGTGAGGGCCAGACAGCCCCGCTGCTAACCCAGCTCTAGACACGTGACTCCTCTCTCAGACCTGTTCCCGCACCGGCAATATTGTTCACAAAGCCAAGCGGCGGCGAGCCAGGCCCAGAGCCCAGGTGCCCTGCGCCTCAGTCCAGTGTCTTCTCCACCCACCCCATCAACGTTGATTGAGAGCCTTCTAGGAGCCAGCATTGTTCTAGAATCTTGGGGGCACATCACTGAACCTCAAGAAGCCCCTGCCTCGTGAGCTTACATTCTAGTTGGGGGTGAAAGGAGATAGATGATTAAAATAAAAAAGGAAATAGAAACAGTAGGTAATATGGGGGTGTGTGAAAATAAAGCACCAGGAGGCAGGTGGGGAACCCCGGGCAGGTGCAGGTGCAGGTGCTGGTCAGGCCTCACTGACACGCTGACACTTGAGCAGACACTGAGGAGGCAGAGTGGGCTCTGCTGGCACCTAGAGAAGGGAATGCCAGGCAGAGGGAACGAGTGCGAAGGCCCTGAGGCAGTGTGGCTGGAGCAGCGTGAGCGAGGAGGAAAGGGGCGGCCGAGGGTCAGAGGTCAACGTAAGGCAGCGGTTCTCAACCTGTGGGTCGCGACCCCTTTGGCGGTCGAACGACCCTTTCACAGGGGTCGCCTAAGACCATCCTGCGTATCAGATATTTACATGACGATTCATAACAGTAGCAACATTACAGTTATGAAGTAGCAACGAAAATAATTTTATGGTTGGGTCACAGCATGAGGAACTGTATTTAAAGGGCCAGAAGGTTGAGAACCACTGGTAAGGACTGTAGCCTTGACTCCAAGTGAGGTGGGAGCCGTTGGAAGGTTCTGAGCAGAGAAGTCACATGACCTAAGTAACGATTCTCTCCGGGCTGCTCTGTTGAGAACAGATCGTAGGACGTCAAGCGTAGGAGCAAGGAGACCAGTGAGGAGGTTCAAAGGTTGGGAGAGAAAGAAATCAGTCAAAGAAGACATACCACATTCTGGTCCAGAGCAGTGGGAAAGGAGGCAGGAAGAACTTGGGGGAGGCAGGGAGCGGGTGTTTGCTTTAGGAGCTGAGCTGCTGTTGGAGTGGACTTCCCGGTGGGGGTGGGGCAGGCAGTGAGGGTGCTCACATCTGGAGTTCAGAGAGGTCCGGGTGTACATGGAGTCATGGGCACTAGATGTTCTTCGCACCCGAGACGAGGTGAGACCACCCAGGTCTGCATGTAGATAGGGAAGAGGCCCCCCAAATCCCGGAAACCACAACATTCAGAAACCAGGAGACTGAGGGAGTGACCAGTGGGGTGTCCTAGAGGCCAAGGGAGGAGCAGTAGTTCTCAACCTTCCTAATGCCGCGACCCTTTAATACAGTTCCTCATGTTG